CAGAAAAGTGAAAACAAAAACTGAAAACTGAAATCTTGTTTGGTAACTACTTTTATTTTTCAATTTAAAAAAAGAAGGAGCCTGTTTAGTATCTTATTTGAAATTTTTTATCATTTCTTAAAACATTTCTTAAAAACAATTTTCTTTAAGACTCAAAAACTTGATTGGTTTGCGATTTAAAAATTTTAAATCGTACGACGTAAACTAGACAAAGAAATCTTAAAAGAGGGAGTCACAAGGAATGAGAAAGAGGAGAGAAGAGGAAATAAAGTAAGAAATGATTGAAGGAAGGAGAAAGAAGAGAGAGGATTGGATGAGATAGAGAGGAAGAGGAGTGAGAGAAAGAACCAAGAAAATAAAGAGAGGGGATTGGAGGAAAGACGAAAAAGGTAAAAAAAAAAAAAGGCGGAGAGAGAAATAAGAAAAGAGAGAGATATTTGGAGTGAGAGGGGAGGAGGGAGAGAAAAGATATGAGTGAGTTTAAGTTTAAAAATTCTAAAAACTCACTTTTTATGTTTTTAGATAATAGACTATATTTTTGAGTTAGTCTTGAGTTCAATTTTTGAAAGTTTTTAAGGTCTAAAACTTAAAAATTGTTTTTGAGTAAAAAAAGTTGGATTCAAGTAGAATACCAAATAGACCCTTAGGTTCCCATCTCTATTTTTCCTACTCCATTGATTAAAACCTTATTCTTTTTCAATTTTTTTTTATCAAGGTTCTTAGATTTCAATAAACGTCATTAATTATTTCAATAATAAAATATTTTTTATTTCTAAATATATTCATTTAGTATTAGAAACGTTACATTTTGTATATTTATACTTATGGGTAAAATTTTTATCATATATTTTTATTTTTAGTTTGTACCCATTTTTAATTTGCAAGCCTTATTTTAATTTGTACCATTTTTCTTTTCAGTTTTAATTTGTACCAATATATTAATTCATTTTTGTGCCCATATTTTTTAAATTTTATTTGTATTTGTACCCATATTTTTTAATTTAAATGTACCCATGCTAATTATATGTATTTATTTTATGTTTTAAAATATATCATTATTTTTTATTTTATAATATGTTAATAATTATGGGTACATTATTTTTTTGCTTTTTGTGAAGAACATTATTTTTTTGCTTTTTGTGAAGAACAATATTACTCTAAAATTGATTTTTAAGTATTTATTATATTTAAAAATATTATTTGAATTTGTTTAAATTTCATAATTTGTGGGACATTAAATGCACAATGCATGAATTAAATCTCTTAAATGAAGCGAAGGACCTCGATCAAAATATTTAAACAAACAAGGTTTCAGTCTAACAATTAGGTTGATTAGGGACCGGAACCAAAATGACCCTTAAAAAAAATTGAAAACCAAACAGTGAAAACTCAAGAAAGTAGTTTTCATTAATTAAAAAAAAATTAAAGTAGTTACAAAAGAAGATTTTAGTTTTCATATTTCAATAAAGTGAAATAAAAATGAAAACAAAATGATTATCAAACGGTCTCTAAATAAATTATTCATGGCCACTCGATTTGCATGAACGTTCTAGATTGAAGTTCCAGATGGGATCTAAAAAGAATCCTAGTCCATTCACTTTACGAGACGAAGATACTTCATCTTGTCTGTCATGTTAAAGACTTCCTTATATGTTATCCGGAGCAAAATCCTTAGCTACTAGTTTGACCATTTCCTTAACGGACTATATATTGAGCAACGTGGTGGTTAACCACTCCGGCTCCATCGATTAGCAGCTTCACTTCCACCTCCGATCTTAGTAAAATAGAGAAATAAGTAAGCTCGGGGATAAGCGGCACTCGAAATCTATTAAACAACGCCAAGAACAAAGCCATGAATGTTGCCCTCGATGATGTGTAGTTGGTGTCGATCAGTTGGTTATGGCTCATGAGGTTTTATCAGCATATCATTGTTTTGCATAGCAAAGCGGAGACATAGGATTAGTTACAGTGATGGTCCTTAACTTGTCCCCGAGTTTTATAGCTGTCTTTGAAGTTTTCTCTTGTCGTTTTACAGTTCTTAAACTCTTTTTGGTGTGGCAGTTTGGTCTTTGTGGTTAACTCCATCCATTTTTTGTTAAGCAAGACATTTTAAATTTGAATCTTATTATTTTTGTTGTGATCCCTTGAATTCTGATCATTCAATGCCGTAGCATTTAATGCTACGTAGCATAGAAGTAAAACCCACTTTTAAGAATTAAGAAGTTAAAATTTTTGTTTTGTTAAAAGTTTTGGATACAAAAAGTCCTACATACCCCTACATATGAAATTTGTGAATTGGCGCTCTCTATATTGTTATTGCAGACTATAGGCATGGAGAATGCTGAATGTTATTTCCGGATCAGGATCCTCTCCTGAGCTAAGGGTGAGGATCCTCCTGAGCAAGTCCAACGGGCTGTTCAAATTTTTTTCAACGGCTACAAACAAGGGGTATCTCTAAAAGTTATAATAATTGTAACCGTTGGATAAAATTTGAATGGCCCAATGGGCTTGCACATGATGATCCTCACCCTTAGCTCAGGAGAGGATCCTGATCCGTTATTTCCAGCAATGGAGCAACTTAGGCATTATAATATATGGATTCACATCCAAAATGAACGGCTGAGATTTGGCAGAACATGTACAACATCATAAAATAAACGGGTGAGATTTAAAGAAATAGGTCTTATACTTTTATCAATTTTTTCCGTCCCAGTAATATCTCGGTGCACTTAAAATCACGAATATTGGACTCACATCCGAAAGTTAGGATGCTTTTTGTGAAATTAAACCAAGATTTCCATCCTTGTTTTGTTTAAATTTACTTTCAGAATGCAATGTTATTATAATTAGACGTTGTTGTCGTATGTTTAACAATGCCATTACATTACATTATCAGGGGAAGAAGATGACCCGTAGACTTTTGAGAAATCATGCGCATGTTAGAATTTGGGAATGTTAGGTACTCAAGCCCAAGGGAAGAGCCTAACCCAAAAGACTAGTTCAATAGGTGGGAGGACCCCAAGGTACTTAAGTACCACTACATTATTTCTGGTGTAGCCGATGTGGGATCATAACATCACACCACCCTTCAGAAGACCTGACGTCCACGGCGGCCCTTACTCTGGTGGCTTTCACTCTTAACGGCGACGCACCCTTTGGTCGTCCCGTTAAGGTTGCCCTTTCCAGGTCGCCCCTTCCGTGGCGTCGGGACCCAACGCCCAAGGGAAGAGCCCAACCTAAAAGACTAGTCCAATAGGTGAGAGGATCCCAAAGACTTAAGAACCCCTACACCCCTATAAGTGTAGTTAATGTGGGATCATAACATTACACCACCCTTCGGAAGCCAACACCCACGGCGGCCCTTACTCTGGTGGCTTTCACTCTTAACGGCGGCGCACCCTTTGGAAGTCCCATTAAGGTAGCCCTTTCCAAGTCGCCCCCTCTGCAGTGTTGGGAATCTACGTTCTGATACCAATGTTAGGTACTCAAGCCCAAGGGAAGAGCCCAACCCAAAAGACTAGTCCAATAGGTGAGAGGACCCCAAGGACTTAAGAACCCCTACACCCCCATAAGTGTAGTCGATGTGGGATCATAACACCTTGAAGCTCTTTGACCCGATCTTTAAAACGGGCATATAGCCGTTGGAACTACGATAGGGTCAAAGAGCAAGTGTAGTTTTATCTCTACTAATCCTTCCTCTTTTCTTTCATTACTGATTGCCAGCCTTCTTGATTTTGAAGAATGTCATAATTGGATCTGCTATTCCTGTTACTTTGCAACCGATCGAGTTTGAGTTCCCCTACTCGGAAATTAAACTAGTTTAAGATATCTCGTTGTTAAGAAATATTTTGATATTGTTAGTTTGCAATATTACATTGTACCATGTGTTCTAGTTTTGTGCAACTCAAGTTTGGGCTTTGCTCACACATTTGTTTTCACTTGTGAACGATCTTAACTAGTTAAATATCAACCGTTCACTCGTTAAGAAAAAATGTGCACACAAAATTTCCACCTTTAGTTTGCTTCATTCTTTATAATATCTTTACCTTCTAATATCAAAATTTATAATTTTATTTCTGAACTTCGTATGGATCCGGCCGTACTCATTGCTCAAGGTTAATTATGAAATTATTTTAAAATTGTTAGATGACTAAACAATTTTTAAACTTGGTCAATAGACGATTTTGAATTGTTAAATAAGAACGAGTAGCTAGCATTTCTAATATAAGTATTCAGGGTTTAGTAGTAGCAAATTAAACTTTCTGCTAACCAAGTATGGAAATTAGTTATGCTCTTTTTTATTTTGTACCAAACCAAACTGATCTGAATCGAAAGTCTCAAAATAAGTATTAAGGTTTTAGTAGTTGCAAATTAAACTTTCTGCTAACCGAGTTTGGAAGTAATTTGTGCTTTTTTTATTTTGTGTATCAAACTAAACCAATCCGAACCGAAAATCTCAATATAAGTATTGAGAGTTTATTAGTTGCAAATTAAACCTTCGGCTAACCGAGTTTGAAAATTATTTATGCTTTTTATATTTTATACCAAACCAAACATATCTGAACCGAAAGTCTCAATATAAGATTGGGTTAAATAATGTTGACACATATGTAAACCGAATGGAACTTAATATCGTATGTAATACAAATTAACGATTTCACTACACATGATACCCTCTTATTGGAATTCAGAATATTGCTAGTTTGATATTATACCAACATATTTAACCCAAATGGGAATTACACTTCTATAGTGGGTTGGAAAATTTGAACGTAATACCAATATATTGAACTCATGAGTGTGATATCAATATATTGAACTCATAACATATACATAGGACTGCTCTTTTCACATTGGACTGCTCTTAACATATACATAGGCCTTATTTTTTAGGTCCAAATTACATCAACCCAAATGTTGCCTAGTACTCAAATGGCAAAGGAAATGAGAGCCCATGTCTCTTACCATGTGGCACAATCTCCATCTTAACCTGCACAGTAAATAGCAAAGGACCCAAGCATGCTTCTTATATTTGCTATGCTCTTCTTCTACACTTTCAGTCTCCTTTCTGCAATTAGATCGGTCATAGATCCACCCGACTTTTGCATTTATTTCATCTTTGGAGCCTCACCAACTCAACTCCTCTCCATCCCTCCCTATATTATAAATCCCCATCCCAAAATTCACCAAAAACACATACAATAATTTCTCCCAATCATTTTCTCCTCAAAAAACCCCAAAAAAAAGAAGAAAGAAAATGCAGTCCATGTTAAACCTCCATGGCAGTTTTGGCCTTCCTCTCTGTGTTTCAGGGATAACCCATCACCATCTCACCTTTTCTAAGGAGTATAAACTTCTTTTCTCTCTCTCTCTCTCTCTCTCTCTCTCTCTCTCTCTCACTACTTTCTCTCTCTAAAGCTCTCTCTTTCCATTTTTCAGAATATATTATTGGGTTTTGATTCTTTTTTGTGGGTGGTTTTTGTTTTAGGATGGTAGATCATGATCGCAGGAGGGAAGCCATGAGAAGGAAGAGATCACAAGCTAGGGCAGCTCTGCATGCAAATCAAGAAGTGGGTTTTGAAGTTAGAAGTGAAAGAGTTGCAGAAGAAGAGATCAAGTTTGATGATGATGATGGAGATCTAGCTACAGCACTACATGATCTGCGTTGCAGTTATTTGGCTTGTACTGCAAAAGCTGCATAAGCTTATTAGCTTAGCTTAAGTTAGCTTATTAAATTTAATCTTAATTAATTTATGTGTTTTATGAACCTACTTAATTTGGATTATGAATTAATGTTTAATGATGTATGAAGGATTTGATGAAATTTTTTAACATATATTTGGAGTTCTATTTTATTTCGGGTCAGAATTTGGAGTCTATGCTTGATCAGGGTTTTTTTGGCGTTTTTGCTTTATGGGGTTTTGGGATATTTGCCTTTGATTTGTCGTTCTTCTTGTTTGCTGGTTGCTTTTGGCACACTTGTACCATTGTTCAAACAAAGAACGATCAGTATTCTAAAAAAAAAACAAAAAAACAAAGAACGATCATCTTGACCATTAAACAAAGCAAAGAACACTCATCACATGAAGCATGAGCATGAGCAATGCATCCATCCACCCCTCCATCCATCCATCCATGTTTTGAATTTGATCCAACTTCAAATTCTTATGTTGACCATAAAAAGAAAAGTTTATAACGAGGTGATTTTTTACACCTCTTTTTGACTTTTCGTATACTTCTTTCTATTCTGGTTTTTTATTCAAATATTATATGAGATTTGAAATCGATAGGAGTGGTCTCTGAGTTTGTTCATCATCAATTATTTTGGTCATTTCGTGAAAAATCTCTGATAAATAAGCACTAAGATGACAAAAATACCCTAAATTTAATAAACAATGGGCCAAATGATATGATAAAATTAAGGGTATTTTTATCATTTTTCCTTATTTAACGAAAATTTGTCATAAAATGTCCAAAGTAACTAACGGTGGAAAGACTCAGACACCAGTTGTATCAATTTTAAATCATAGAGACCAAAACGAAGAATTATGCCAATCTCGGAAATCATTTTGGCTATAAAGCCTTTTATTTTTGTCGTCAGATTGAATAAATCAACTAGAACAACACACAAGATTAAGCAAGGGTGAGTAAAAAACTAAAAAGAGTGTTTGTTTATCATTTCTCAAGCTAGTAAAAGTGAATCTATCTGCATTCGAAATCATTTATTTGATTTAATTACTATTTCTTTATGTAAGAACTAAAAGTAAAATATCGATCATTTGTCTGCAAATCATTGAAAAACTTAGAGAGGAAGATTATATGACAATGGATGTCCCTCATACTTCCTTAGAGTCCCCTTCTCTCAAGGCATCAGCTTTTCAACCATTTGTAAGTTTGTCTGCAAATCATTGAAAAACTTAGAGAGGAAGATTATATGACAATGGATGTCCCACATACTTAGAGTCCCCTTCTCTCGGCATCAGCTTTTCGACCATATGTAAGTTTTAGTTCTCTTATCCTTTTCTATGGGTAGAAATATATTTTCTCTTTTCCTTTTGTTTTCGATTTTCATTCATGTGAGGTTTAAAGCTTGGCTAAGCAAAAGGACGATGACGAGAGTTCAACTCTTGTCGTGAGCATAGAAACCACAAATGCTCTGGTACTAGTTATAATTATTGGTATGGATTCGTTTATTTTTTATGACGAGAATCAATGGATTAAAATATACCAAATCTAGTAATCCAAGTGCTATATCCAAGAATTATATTGATATATATAGAACCGATCGAAGCTTCTTTTGAAATTAGTTATGAAGCCGATACGAACAAGTTTCACGTTTAAAAGATTGGAGCTCATATGGTTATGGGTTGAGAATGGGTTGCATGAAATCAAATTTCTTGTTATATGATAGCTTAGGGGTGGAGTTGGAGTACGCTTGAATTCAATCTCCTAAAGCATTAATATCATGTGTCCTAGAAGAAAAGAAAAGGGTTGGTCCAAATAATAAATTGATTACAAAATAGTTGCATTATTTTTAGTGGTTGCCTATTTTGGTCCTTTTATTGAAGTTAGTCTTTAAACTTTCAAAAAATATGTTAAAAGAGAGGATAATTGTGGCGTTAGCTATAAAAGTTGATAGATTTAATCGTGAACGCAATTTAATTTAGTTGATTCTTTTGTTCAAACAGATCACAGTGTCAGCTGTGTTAGCAAAAACATTTTTTGCACGGATAAAAACCAAGTTGATACGGCGTTTCGTAAACTAGTATATTAGTGAAACGACTTGTCAAATGGAGACGTGTGTAAAAAACAATATGTAAATCATATAATTCAGTCTTGTCCCTTACAGCCAATTGTTTTTAAAGTGAAAAATTAGTTTTATTTGTTCAGTTAGTTTTTTTGTTACTAAAAGTTTAGGATGAGGGGACACTTACAGGTTTTTACAGATCGCTCACTAAGAGAGATTTTCGGTTGAACTCGAACTTAGATATTGGCCTAGCAAAGAGAATGATCCTAATCAATTCAATCAACTCTCGTTGGCGGGTTTAGTTAGTTTAGTGTTGAATAAAGAAACAGTTCCAAACTAAATCGACCTATTTGAATTTGGTGGATATGTCTGTTTTGCAACATAAATGCTTACTCCACGATAAAAAGGGTCAACTAGTTGCATGGCAGCATATTTACGGTAGATTGGAAAAACAGGTGATTTATTGAAAGGTCGTTCTAAAATAGTTACGTGCTATTCTATCAATTTTTGTAGCAACTTTTAAAAATTTAAGGACGAAATAAAATTGAAAGACCAAGAGTTCTTTTCCTTTTCCTTTTGTTTTTTTTTTTGGGGAGGGGGGGGGATGATTAGTTTTCTTGGCGGTGTTGGGACTTGGGACAATCAACATGTGGAAGACATGACCACACATGAGCGTATACAATCATCCATCTTTGTCAATTGTTTGTGTGTTTTTCCTTGTTTAGTCATTCAATCGTTGGCAGACAGAGCTCTATGTTACTTGTTTAATCGTGATTGAGTTGTTACCAGTTTACGCCATGGGTAGAAATGAATAATACTATTACGTAATTAGAGTAATGGTATTTGAATTTATACCTATACGCGTTACGGTTTAATCTTTTAACTCGTATTTTAGTTTGTGTGGTCCTTCAGCTAGACCACTTCCGCCCCGCACCATTAATCCTACCGTCAACTTTTTCAAGTCCTTCGTCTATTTAAAAAAGTTTTTTTAGCGAAAATAGTATTCTATTATTATTTATCAAATTGAGGTTATTTATCAAATTTTCACATAAAGGTCAAAATGATTGACTATAGATAAACTCAATGACCACTTCTATCGATTTCAAATCTCAGTGACCGAAATGACTTATTGACTAAAGCACAAATCTAGTGAATGAATGTAGGTTGCGTACGCTTAGCCACTAGTTAGAAGGAAATCCCTTGACTTTGCTTATGCACTTATGGGCCTTGTGCGGTACAGAAAGCCACCATGTAAGGATCAAATTCCATTTAATTTCTACAAACATGAATTTGAAAACTACTAATCTCATATAACAGTATATGACATGAAAAAGAAAAGAATTTCGAAAACTGACAGCATGAAGAGATAGTGGCTTGCAGATATATACTATTCAAGTTCATGTTCATAGACGAGCCATTACTTAGTGAGATTTATCTCCTTTTGTAAGGATTAATGCGTAAACAAAAAAAAAAAAAAAAAACTGCTTTAATCCTATCCGCGTTGTTGCAACTTGAAATGTCTGTTTCTCTCCTCTTCTCACGTAATTAAATGTGAAGAGAGACATACACATCACGGAAGCTGAGGAAGTGTTTTCCGTACTTGCGTGCATGATGATTGTGGGCCAAAATTGCCGCCAGTTAAGTGTGAGGATGAGAGTAGCATTCTCTTATTTTTTTTTTTTTTCTTTCTTCTTATTTGAACGGTCACGGTTAAATCATGTTAACATCTTATATTAATTTTTTATAGCAAGAGAAAAAAAAAAAAAAAAGAATGTGAGATGATAGAATGGAAGGGGATGGAAAGAGATAGGGAAATAATTTTAGTCCATGAGGATGAGGTCCATAGTATTAATTTAAAATGGTGGTTCTTAGATCGCAGTCATCTGATAGTGACAATTATTAAGAAAATAGGTACTTCTATCCTTTCGAAATTGTTTGACACGACTTTTTCATTTCTTCCTTCAACAACGGATTTATCCATTACAATTTAATATGCGGCAGGAAGATTGCCAAATGCCAATTAGTCCTATCAAATTTTTATTTTATTTTCTAGACCTGAAACTTAATAGCAATGTTCCCTTGATCCTGGAGGAAGGAGATTATCTTCGGATCTCTTTCACCAAAGTTACCGTATCAAGTAATCCAAATTTTTGAAATTTGATCAAACGGTTAAAATTATTATAGCTTTTAAAAGATGCCTCTATTTTTAGTCGTTAGATCAAATTTCAAAAGTCCGGATCACTTAATCCGATGGCCTTGGTGGAAGAGATCCGGAGAGAATCTCTTTTCATCCCTGAATGATAAAAATTTCATGCCTCACGCTTATATTCAATATCACTGGTTGAGAATCATGTGCTTTTAGTATTTTAATCTCAGCCATTTACATTAGATTTAGTAGTAAATGACCATAAATCTTTCTTGTTCCTGTTTGGCATCTTTGCCCGGATATAAAATTCTGTCTTCCAAAAAATAAAAAAAAGAGCAAACAAAACAGATGTAACACCATGATTAGCAAATGCCTGTAATCTAGTCGTTGATTCCCAATTGCATTTCACCTCTCCTATGGACAAGAGAACAGGAAAATGTTGCCTCGAGAGGGGTTTAACAAGGCAGCATTGCCTTGCCTCGAGGAGTTTAACAAGGCAACATTGCCTTGTCAAAAAGTTGAAGGCAAATTTAGTCGCTTATCCCAGCCGAATGATTTGCCCATGACACAAATGTTCAAGGCATCAAATGACACATCCATCAACCTTAATCTAATGCTAACCCAAACCTTAGGACCTGTTTGGTACTCTACTTGAATTCAACTTTTTAAACTCAAAAACAATTTTCAAATTTTAGGCCTTAAAAACTTGTTTAGTAGGATTATTTTCAAAAACTGAACTCAAGACTCACTCAAAAATATAATCTATTATCTAAAAACATAAAAAGTGAGTTTTTAGAGTTTTTAAACTTAAACTCACTCATTTCTTTTCCCTCACTCTTCCCCTTTACTCCAAATATATCTCTCTTTTCTTCTTTCTCTTTTTTTTTTTTTTTATACCTTTTTCGTCTCTCCTTTAATCTGCTATCTTCGTTCTCTCGATTCATTCTCTCTCCTCTT